AAAAATGGCTATATGAGAGACATATGGTTGTATGTGATTAAACATTAAAAATTAATATTAATGAAAAATTAGGTAGTTTTTAAATTGATTTTTGTGACCGGATGAAACTCATAAGAGCAACCGGTTCAAATACCATACCAGTTTTTAAACCGGATCAAACCGGATCCGAAACCGGATCCGAAACCGATTTAGGATGCCGAGTAGGTTAGTTTTTATTTTTTAATTTTTTTAATTTTCTTTAGATAAAATCAGGTCTAGGCACGGTCTAAACATAAAGTGTATATTGGGCCCGCCCGACCCAAGGTGGCAAGGTCTGCTCGCTGAATAAAAACAGACGACAGAAGCTGCGACATTCGCCGGGAAACGGAATCGCCGTTAGAGAGTCCCAAATCATCGCGCTCGCTTTCTCGCTCGCGTTCTCTTTTAGTTTTCATTCCAATAAGCATTTCGAATTTGGGAAACGAAGGGTGACTGCTGTTACAAGGCCTCTCCACTCCACAACCAGCTTCTTCTCCACCGCTGACTGCTGTAAGCCGTAATGTGAGTTCTCTTTTCTCTTGGTTTTATAGTTTTGAAATTCGCTTTGATTTGTGTTGGTTTGACGAATAGGATGGTGGTGCTGGTTGCAATGATATGATTATTTGTTTTGGATATATTTTTTGTGCGTTGAGTGGAATGATATCAAGTTATTGATTTTTATTTGCAATTAATAAAGGTTAAGGGTTTTTGATTTTAGTTTTCAATTGAGTGTTGGTATTCATTGTGAAATTGGCAACAAATTGAGCGACTTGGTGTGACCTGGTGACCTCTGGTGTAGTGTGTCCGTAACATGTCGGTGAAGTGGATATTCGTAACATGTGGGTGAAGTGGATATTCGTTAAGTAAACATTGCAAATTAAAAGAAGTGAATTGAGTTTGAGTTGATTGACATACGAATTTGTTTGGAGATTTTGTGGAATGAAGGAGTTCAATTGTTATAACAGCTGTATTTGCAGATCTAAGGTTTTGGATATTGATAATGACGGCCCTTGATGCGGATATAGTTTTACGTCGCCGGAGTTACTACCAAATGACTGATTTTCACAAGAACTCAAGACTAGTGAGCATGGCTAAGAGGCGGAAAGAACTGTCGGTCCGTGATCATGGGATTGAAAGGTCCAACATCGTGAAGCAGGTTTGTTATGTATTTTTTGGACTTAAGTCGAATTGCTGATTATTCATGTACCGTAGGTTGCTATTGTTGTTTCATTCACTTAAACACATCTGTTTGACTTGTGTAAAAAGGATCTTGTCTCAATGGCTGCTAAAGTAAATTCGACTGATAGAGATCTGCAGCTGGGTGGAACTGTCCTAATTCGTAAACGCCTTATGTTAGGTATATATGTTTTACTACATGTATGTATGTATACGCACACACTGAATTGGTTTCATTTCATTTCACAGGACGACAAGAAACTGCAAAAGTTATACAACTTGGTTTGGTACCTCGCATTGTCGAGTTGTTAAGTAGGGAGGATTCTGCCGAGCTTCAGGTAATAATGCTATTTCTATCTCTGTTTGAGTATTTGCTTTTTAGCCTTATTATTATTCATTTTGTAACAGGTTGAAGCTGTTGGGTGTCTTTCTATCATTGCCTCAGGAGTAGTATATAAGTGGACAAAGGATGTCCTAGACAGCAGAGCGGTCCCAGCACTTGTAAAACTTCTACTTTCTCCAAAAGATAAAGTTCAGGAGCAGGTAACAACATAAATGCTTATGCTTGGTACATAATTTCAGAGGTGGAGGAAATCTCTCATTTATGACCTTGCTTCTTCTTACAGGCTGTTCATGCATTGGGAAATATAGCTGGAGATTGTGCTGAAAGCCGCGATCATGTTTCTGCCAACGGTGCGTTGACTCCTTTGCTTCGTTTGTTGCTTGAGAAGGATGCTAAGGATCCCATTCTAAGAACTGCAAGTTGGACATTGTCCAACTTATGCGGAGGATATCCATTTCCTCCGTTTGAACAGGTATTGTCAATTGTCATATACGATATATCATATTTTTTGTTTTTTTTGCTTTTTTGTAGCTGATTTTTGATTTGCAGACAAAAGCAGCTCTTCCGGTAATTGTGGATCTCATCAAGACCAA